TAATCACTGATGTACGTAAATCGGTTATTAAAAACTTGTTTCCATAGATATTGAGCTTAAATTAATTCAAGTAGAACGAGTTCAATTCAAGAATTTAGCTCAAGATCTTCATGGCAAATGCATTCTAATCTCAATGTTAACGAAACAGCAAGCTAAAGATATATCGATCGATATATAGATACATATACAAATAATATTAACAATTATCGTTATGCAGCATCCGTTATAAGGTTTTCAATATTAGCATGCCAAAGGCGAATGTCAAGGTTAGGCTTAGACTTAACAAAAGCCGAACCGGAACGCATTGGCCTGCAATGCAATGATTCAATGAATCGATTCGCAAGCCGGTTGTCTGTATATCTGTATAGTATATAATACAAGTTAATTAATAAACTGCATAATCTGACATTTAGAAAATCAGACACAAAGCAAAAACCAGAGAATTAATGCAATAATTAAAGGCTAGCCAGAAGAGAAGATTTAACTGAACAAAAGCTAAGCAACAGCAAAAACAATTACAATTGCAGCAAAATGAGTAAGTAATGATGAAATGATATATATATAGTATATAAATACATATATAGTATTTTTCTACTGTGGCCTTACATAAGCAAATAATTGAGTTTCGCTGTTCAACTGTTGGGGGATCAAAGCGCAGCTTCTATGTAAACACGCTTACGTACACTATTTATCATATAATACTCATCTCTATACCTCTTTCTCTCTCTCTATTCCTTTTATATAGGAGTGCCCACCATGTTGTCGGAGATCGAAGCTCTGCCCTCGATCAAGCTGGGCGACTTTACGCTGGAATTCGAACTGGGCGAACCCTCAGCTGCGGCCAAAGAAGTTGCCGCTCGCGAGCTGCGCGAGACGCCCGAACGGCAGAAGGAGGCAACGCAGGAACTGAAGCGTTTACTGGAGGGTAAGATCTATATATGCTACATATCAAATAAAAACTTTGCTTTTCAAATTGTATTTTCCGGAATGCAACACGATCTAGAAGTAGGGAGCTGAAATGCTAAAAAGTCTTATGGAAAGTTGAAATAAAAATCCCATGCAAGCCATAGAACTTCTAACCAGCTCTATTTATAAAGGAAATACAAAACAAGGCAATACAAATATAGATACTACGATTTGTAATGCACTCAAATATTATATTTACTTAATATATAATAATCAGCAACAATTTTAGGATTCTATTACCAAAATATAACCCAATCTAGAGTAAAGGAACTACGTCAAGTTCCCTTTGAGTTGAAAAAAGCCTCAGGCAAGCAGTAACTATTGTAACTATGAGTTTTATACTATATATGGTTTTTACAGCTTGCATGTAGCTTTTATTTTTCTACAATTCATAGTTGAAGGAAATATGTATGGAAAGTATGTAGTATCCCATTTTCCTTGTAAGTTCTTCGTAGTGCTAATTAAAAAAATATTAATTATTATTTTTTTTTTTTTGCACAAATGTTTTTGCAAATGTCTTTTAGACTTCAATTAGTTTAGGTGACCTGCACTGAAAAAGTCAGGTGGTAGCATGTGACTAACTAGATATATAGTAGTTAAAAAAAAATTTTTTTTTATTACCTTCGGGCTAAAGTCGATTTCCTAGTGGGGTCGAATGAGTAGCCAACGCGATAATCGCTCAAGTAAACTTCGAGCTAAGTATAAATATGTATTCTCTAACACTAAAGCTGGAGAGATATTGTCAATAGCTCTAAGTTTAATGGCCATTAATTTAGCTGGAAAGGTCAACGAGATCAACTTTGAAACGACATCGTTAGTACACAGCAGCTGGACTCTGTTTAGCACCGAGACAATTGAATATATATAAATATAATATATGTGTATCTTAGGCATCATTTGTTACACATATATAAATATAATATATGTGTATCTTATGCATCATTTGTTACACAGCTGAAACCGATCTGCACTGCCCCAAGGAAAATGAGGACTGGCTCATACGCTTCCTGCGACCCTGCAAGTATTATCCGGAGAGTGCACGCGACTTGGTAAGTTGCTCCGTAAATGATTTGTACATCTCCTAAAATAAAATTTTTTTTATTATAACTCAACAGATCAAGCGCTACTACTCCTTTAAAGTAAAACACTCGGATGTGTATAACGATTTGAAGCCCACAAGGGAGGCCAATATCTTCAAGCACAACATACTTACCGTGTTCCCCAATCGGGATCAGTACGGACGTCGCATCTTATTGCTGGAGCTGGGCAGTAAGTGCTGAATGCTTGTGATAGCCTTCGGTAACTCTCTAATATTACCTTTCTGCTTTTCAGAACGCTGGAAGCACAAGCAGGTCACGCTGGATGAGGTCTTCAAGGGTGCGGTCATCTTTCTGGAGGCGGCCATGCTGGAGCCGGAGACACAGATCAATGGAGCCGTGGTCATTTTCGACATGGACGGCCTGAGTCTGCAGCAGACCTGGCAATTTACGCCGCCGTTCGCCAAGCGCATTGTCGACTGGCTGCAGGATTCGGTGCCGCTGCGTGTGAAAGCCATTCACATTGTGAATCAGCCGAAGATCTTCAATGTGGTCTTTGCGCTCTTCAAGCCCTTCCTGCGCGAGAAGCTGCGCAGTCGCATCATCTTCCATGGCACCGATCGCGAATCTCTGCACAAATACATGTCGCCCAAGTGCCTGCCCTCGTGCTATGGCGGCATCCTGGAGCTGCCCCGCGTCGATGGCGACCAGTGGTACGAGCTGTTGCTCATGTGCGACGCCGAGTACGAAGCCATCAACTCGTATGGCTACAAGAAGAAGTGAATGGGCCCAACCAACGGGCAGTGTGTACAGCAAGTGATATTCCCTCGTATACCCAAAACTCGATTTATAATATGCATTAACCATTAGAATATCTGTTATACGCTTGTCCAGTCAGAGCCAATCAGTTTGCCTTAGTGTTAAGCGATCGATTCGATCTTAATTATCTCAAATACATTTAAATGGGGGTAAGCCTAATTATAGTCTGTTGTTACATTTATTACTTACATATTTAAATCTAAAAACTTATTTGTATTCAAATATATACTAAAAGTTGAAATGAAACACTCTGCGCATAATTCACATAATTCATATAATTCACTTTATTCCTTAGAGCTTCCTCAATCGGCTTAAGTTTTTATAATTTTTATAATTAAGTTTTTATTTTTATTTCCTTGTATATAGACAAATCACGTATAAGTTCTTTGTTGGCTGGTTTCTAAGTATTCGTATAAGTTCTTTGGCTGTTATCTAGATCCCTAGACAAAGCAAATATTTAATATTTATATAGATACCTTTAATGTTATCTGTCTATCTATCGGTTTGGTCTTTGAAGTTGCGGATTTTCTGTCTTAGTTATAAATTTTAATTACAACAGTTGCTGTCTTGTCATTTCGGCGTATATAAATACGAGTTGTACAGATACATATATAAGCATACAAAAAGAGTTTTGTATAACGACTTAGTCTAAATTCAATATTGTTTGCCTTAGGCTCTATGGTCAAGTCAATCGCTTCGCTCACAAGGCACAATTTCCACACCCCACTTGCAGTAGTACGGTTTCAGCAGATGTGCGACTGTTATACGGTAATAACTGGCATACAACGTAACGAGACTCTTTCCATTAATCTCAAATTGTTTCTACCACAGAGTGTTTGATGTGCTTTTGGTCTCTTGGCCACAATCAAGGACTTGGCGGGAATGTAGTGAATGCATGCCTCTGGATAAGCCATAAAAATGAGAGATGGTGAGGGAGTGAGAGACACAGAGAATAATACACGTAACAACCCCGTCCCCGCTCATAGCTGATAATTTGTCTTGGGAGCCTTGGGCGAGCTGCGCGATTGTCCGAACAGATGACGCGACATGGAGGAGGGCGAACGCATGGCAGCATCCGTATTGCGCCCATCATCGTCATCCGCATCGACGACGTCAGCGGCTTTGCCCGTACCACCGCCAGTGCAGCACTGGCGCCGCTGCATCAGCCGGATGGGCTGCGTTAAATCGATGGTGTCGCCATGCTGGCGCTGCTCCGCCTCGGCGACGCGCTCCATTGCCTTCCATTGTCGCAGGGCGAGCACAAAGGCGTCTGTCACATTTGTCGCCGTCTTCGAGGAGGTCTCAATGTGTGCGCTAATCCCATGCTCCGCGCACCACTGTTGCACATCCTCGTAGCTCACTTGCCTGCGCTCCGCTCGAATGTCATTCTGCGAATATGAAAGCGCATTGGCATTGGCATCAGCATTAGCATTAATCTAACGTGCAACTCACCTTGTTGCCGACCACAATGAAGGGGAATCTGTCCGGCTGGACGTCCGCATAGTTGATGAACTCGTTACGCCACAGTCGCAGGCCACGCAGGCTGTCCCGGTCGTCCAGTGCGTAGCAGAGCAGGCACATGTCGGAGCCGCGGTAGAAGGGCGTGCGCAATGCCCGGAATCGCTCCTGCCCAGCCGTGTCCCATATCTGCGAGAGAGCACAGTGGAATGAGTGGAAGGAATGAGAAGCATCGGCTTCGAAAAGTTAGCGCTAATTGCGTCATGCGAATGACTGAGGGCAGATCGCCAAGGCCCTGGGCCAGAGACAAAGCGGGCCGATAATAGTGTGCTGATAACCAGGCTAAAAGCAAATTCAGCCCAAAGACCTTATAGTAAGCAAACAAACAAAAAGGTGACGCTAAAAAGACACTTCCGATCGGGTATATTCGACCAGCACATGCCTAAAGCTGTGCATTGAGTCTTTACCTAAGCATTCTAGCTACAATCTATTTATACAGTCAAGTCTCGATTCGTACCCCATTAAATCGAAAATCACGATAAATCGAAAACATTTCTATTCCCTTAGGGAAATTCGTTCTCAATAATTTGTATTTCTTTGTAAATCGAAAAAAAATAAATAAATAAGCGGATCCCCTTGCTATTCCGAATTATCGGGATTCTACTGTATTTATATATATATATATATATATATATATATATATATATATATAGTGTAATAGTTAATATAATAGAAATTAGACATATGTAAGTTGTCAGATTAGACTCAGCTTGAACTTTCATCTAAGCTACATAAGAAATTTCGAAATAGATATAGAGGCTATTGATAGCAATTGTTGTCGAGAATATCATATTAGGGGATTTGATAATAGTTCCTTGGCTGCTAATAGAAGAGTACGAGCCCTGCAGCAAAAATAAGATAATAGATGATAAAGATTCTGAAATATTGAGATTAGATGCAGAAAACTTTAATTACGCTGACACAGTCAAAGAACTGAAAAAGAAATTGAAAAGCCAAAAAACCAAAATATCTAGATGCATAGATATACATATACGAGGTGGAAGTTCCTGACTCGAGTCTTTTCGAGTCTAGCTGACTGCTTGGGGGCTTCAGGCTTGCAGTCACAGGTAATTAAATAAAGCTTTATGTAGATCCTTGGAAGTAAATCAAATACATATTTGAATCTATTTTTCATTTTTATAGGGCTCTAAATGCAAAGCGTGCACTTGAGGGATAAATGGAATGGACATGATGATGATCAGGTCAATTAATACACTATGGTCGAGACCGATTTTTTGGCGTAAAATCTAATTTTATAGTTAGAGTCTTCACACGTATATTTGTCAAATACAATTGGAATTTTTTATTTTGGGGTTGGACCCTCCCATACCTTTTTTAAAATATAAAATTCAAATACATTTATATTCTTCATCGTTGTTTAAAACAATTTCAAATAGCCTATCATTATCATAGTCGCTGAATATGGTAGAAATATATCGAATCCCCAAGCTTTACTTAGAATATGAGTGTTGGTTTACTGCAAATTTGTTAGTTAATTCGTTTTTTTTTTTTTTTTTTTTTTTTTTTTTTGTTCTTCCCTGGTAACTTTCAGTTCCTTCATCAATTCATCCTTTCTGGTTTCTTCGCAGAAACTGGTGCGGCATGTAATAAATAATGCGTTAAATAGTTTGTTTCTGATGCAAGGACAAATGCTAATTATAGTTTCAGTCCTATTCCAGTTTCTAAATAGATCAATTTGTTTGTTCATTATAAATGGAGATGGCCAAAATAATAACAACCAGCTGTAAAGGCACCTTGAGTGTCGCTTTAAATCCTAGCAGGCCACGCTTGAACTTTGTGAAATACTTTATAGTGTGATGTGGTTGATGAAATTATAATATTTTCATTCAAATGATCAAACAGTGTGACCCTGGAATCAGTTTTAGTATTTTCTCTAATGTCAACTTGATTAGAACAGAATCATTGTGCATGTTGACAGAACTTCTTGTTTGAGCCGAGCTTAGCGAAACGGTGATAGAAATAAGCACGAAAACCTGTTATCCTTTTCGAATTTTTAATGGGCAAATTTAAAATTATGCATAATCGAATTTGAAGCTGTAGTTTTTCGGTATTGCAAAAATCTCTGGAATTTATTGATTGGCGCAATTACTATTAACAATACAAATTATTTACATGATGCTTTGTCCCAGTTTGCTTACTCATCTAATTGCAGCTCCATCCCAGCCATCCGTTGAATATTTATAAGCTATATACGAAAGTTGGCGGACTGTGAAAATGTGAACTCAAATGGAAGCCGACAGCAAGAGGAGAAAAAACAAACTGCATCAATAACAAGCAAACAAGGGAATACCCCTGTTCTCCGACGGAAATGGGAAGAGCGAGACTGTGAGCAAATATATGTATGTATGTACATATGTATGTGTATAAAAAGACGTTCGCTTAGAATTTATATCAAGGGTTTGCTCCCCTACATTATATGCATACACATACTACACACACACACTCACGACCACACACACACAGATACGTATGTTACATGTATGACACAAAGTCATCGCATTGTTTTTGCTGCTCTTGTTGGACATTTCAGCATGCTAAACGGTTGTACGTTAATTGAGCTTTGAATCAATGTGTGCGTGTGTGTGAGTGAGTGAGTGAATAAGTGAGGGCAGATAGAGCTGATAGCGGGACAGATAGTACGCAGCTCAAGTGTCAGCGGAACAACGCGAAAAAAACAAGCAATAGTGAAAAGAGGAAAAAACAGTTAAGCTGAGCTGGTTGAAATGCGAATTGGAATCTAATAAGAAAAACTGATGAAGACGCGTTCAATTCCTCAGTCGTGACGCGTTGCTGACCCCAGTTAAGGATATGTAAATAGATGAATCATCCAATTAGACTACCACTCCACCCACCTGTAGTGTGTACTTTTCACCGTCCACAGCGATGTCCTTGTTCATGAACTCCACGCCAATCGTGTGGAAATTGTTTTCCTCATACCGATTCGATACGAACCGTGTGAGCAGCGCAGACTTGCCCACGCCTCCGTCGCCCAGTATGACGACCTTCAGCAGTTTAGATTTTTGCGGTGGGCGCATGTTTGTCATTTTGTTGATTTTTGTTGTTATTTGCAGTTGACTGCCTCAATAATTACTAAATTGTTGTAAAAACTGCGCAGCTAACAATTTTTTGTTTACAATTGTCATGTGGGTCTTCTTTGTATCATCAATCACGATATTCGTTGCACTTCAAGCAATTAAATGCTATTTTTTGTTCATAATACATACAAAACGTACTGGCGTGCACTTTGAAAAATCCCAACAATTAAACGATCAAAAAATTGAACACTTAACGCAACCGCGCCACCACGCGCCGCAACCTATTGGACCAACAGTCAGCTGTCAAATGGTTTGATGGGCAGAAATGAACGTGTTCGTGGAACTAGTGCCCTGTTAAAAATGTAAACAAATGTTAATTGTGAATGGGAACTATGTAAGTGAGGTATCCAGCACTGTTAAGAAAGAATCAAATGAACTTAATCGTAGCACAACATAGGCCAATTTAGAGCATTTATTTGTAGATTAGGACTGTTGTTCACTAAAAATCCAATTGCATAGAATGTAATTGTTAATGAATAGAATTGTTTATGAACAAATTTAATAAATAATAACCATAATTTTAGCAATCATCCTTAGAGTATTTAAAAATCATTTTAGAACCGTGTTAAAGTAATTTTAGACACTCTGTTAACATTACAACAATGCTCGATTAATTAAGAAACATATTTTTAATTTATATACATTAATATTATAAATATTAAATACAAATATGTGCCGATTAATTTAAATCTACACGCATTATCAGTCATTCTCCATAAAAATGTAGGGTATAGATATCAATAATCGGCCAGGTGTTTTACATCGACTTCAAATGTCTCTTCTATATAATAAATACACTAAGTAATTGTGGGTTTTCAGCCCTTGATAACTGCAATGGGACGCATTTTGATGCACTTCTTGCTGATGCCAGCGGCGTGGCAGGTATCCACGACGTCAGTGACATCCTTATATGACTCTGGAGCCTCCTCCATGACTAGTTTGGGGCTGGCAACGCGTATGGCGATGCCCAGTTGATCCAGCTTGTCCAGCACATCTTTGTAGTCCAGATTGCGACGCGACTTGGCGCGTGACAAGGCGCGGCCCTGTTGAATATAATATTGATATAGTTTAAATATGATAATATAATATATAATGTGGATGAAGGGATTTCTTACCGCGCCGTGGCAGGTGCTGCCAAAAGTTTCTTGCATGCCGCGCTCGGTGCCGGTCAGGACGTAGCTGCAGGTGCCCATGGTGCCGCCAACGAGAACAGGTTGTCCGGTCAGTTGGTAGTCCACTGGTATTAGTGGGTGATGAGGGGGGAAGGCGCGAGTAGAGCCCTTGCGATGCACAAGCAGCTTGCGCTCCTTGCCGTCCACCATGTGGTTCTCCACCTTGGCGATGTTGTGCGAGACATCGTAGATGACGTGCATGTCCAGGTCATCGGGCGTCGTCTTGAACATCTTGGCGAAGGCCTGGCGCGTGAGGAAGGTCATCGAGCTGCGGTTCACCCAGGCGAAATTGGCAGCCGCAGCCATCGCCTTCAGGTAATCCTGTCCCTCTGGTGAATTGATGCGCGCGCAGGCCAGTTGGCGGTCATTCGTCTCGATCTTGTCGCGCTTCATGGCCTTCTCCATTTCGACAAGGGCATCTGTGGCCACCTGGTGGCCGAAGCCGCGGCTGCCCGAGTGTATCATAACGACCACTTGGCCCTTCTCCTCAATGCCCATTTTCGAGGCGCTCCACTTGTCATATATCTCGTCCACCACTTGGATCTCGGCGTAGTGATTTCCGGCGCCCAGTGTGCCCAGCTGGGGCAGGCCACGCTTTTTGGCGCGCATGCTTACCTTGGCCGGATCGGCGTTCAGCATGCGCCCGTACTCCTCGCAGTGCTCCTTGTCCTCCGCCCAGACATAGCCTTCGCGCAATGACCAATCCATTCCCATTTCCAGGGCTTCCTCCAAGTCACGCGCGTTCATCGGTATAATGCCTTTAGAGCCTACGCCAACTGGGATGTGGTCGAAGAGCGATTGCGCCAACTGCTCCTTCAGCGGCTGCACATCCTTCTCGAACAAATTGGTGCGCAGCAGACGCACACCGCAATTGATATCGAATCCGACGCCGCCGGGGCTGACCACTGAGAGTGGATCATCCATGTCGAATGCAGCCATGTTGCCGATGGCAAAGCCATAGCCCGAATGGATGTCCGGCAGTCCAATGGAACGGCCAACAATGCCCGGCAATGCGGCCACATTTGCGATCTGCTTAACACCCGGCAAGAAGCCACCAACGGCTCCTGGGCGGCACGAGTTCTTTAACTCCTCCAGCATGAGCTGCTCCAGGCGGCTGTTCACGTAAAACACACCTTCCACATTCATGTTGGGCTGGAAGCCCTTCTTGATGCGCCAGCAGTGATCATTGATCTTCTCCAGATACTTCAGCTCCTCAACATAAGGCCTGACCACCATTTTGAGTAGTAGGTAGACAGAGTTTTGTATCTTTTTCGTTGGTTGATCCTTTTATTCTATTATTGCTTAAATTTTAAATAAATTTCGTCAGAATTTGCAATGAAATCTGCCGGTAAATGACACATTTACCCCACTAACAGCTGAGGGCATCCAAAAAATTTACAGTTGCTAAATTAAGTTGGGCTGCAATGTTAAGAGCGTAGCGGCGGTACTATTATCGACTGCCACCACAATGTATTGAGCTGCTAATAAGGCATAAATAATCGATATCACGTGGCTATCAGTCGATGACCGTAAGTTTTTGAAATTATAGTCTTTAATAAATTAACTGAAAACACAAGTAACCGATATCCACTGGAAATTATTTAACGACTATAACTATTCGAAATTAAATATTTATCAGTAAATTTTTATACTTCCGCACTTATACGTTTATTAGGGCAAATATAGGGCCCCTAAATTACCCTGGTATACAGCAACTTTCAGTAATGGAAATAGATGGCTGATTGTAGTGACGTACGAAAGATTTGATCCCACTACCCAATTAATTTGTAAGATGCGCAGCCGACTAAGCAGCGTTGCTTCCAGACCTATCACATCCTTGTTGTTTAGTGCCAGCATCTTCAGTTGTGTTGCCGAATTTAATAGCAGCGACAATTGATCAGAGTCCTCTACGTCACAGCAACGAAGATCCAATTCGAGCAGCAGAGGAGCCACCAGGCGGATTACGTCCATATACTCCATCGTTATTTTGGCATGTTGTATTTTGAGTCCCTTGATACGTCTACTTTCCTTAGCGCCCATACAGAGGGGTCGAAGAATGGCTAACACATCCTCCTGGTCTATGGAGTATCCCACATTTATGTTGATATATTGGATGTATTTGCCAAGCATGCGAAGTTGGTCTGTTTCATATTGAGGCGGAAAACGCATCGAAAATTCAAAGTTACGGTATTTGCGCAGCTGCCGTTGAATAGCGTTGTCGATGCGCGGATGAACTTTACCCAACAGCACCATTAACTCATCCAGCACGAGATATTTGAATATATTCGCCAAACAATATTCGTCGAGGCTCAACAGCGACATGGAAGGTGCAGTCATGCTGAGAAAACTGAAACAAGCAAATAAAAAGTTATCAAACAGGCGCGCATCGTGTTATCGATAGTCAATCAGCTGTTGGGCCGTATGAACATGTGTGTGTATGTATTGTTTATGTCTGTGCTGTCTACGTGTTTGTGGTCGACGCCGCTCCAAAATTAAAGTGAATCATATAAAACTCGTCTCCAACTTACGCGACACTCGCGAGCAGCGCTCACTGCCATTTCAGCAAAAATATTTTCAATTCCAAACGCGAACGCGACGGATGAAACTTCGACCAGTCGCTGTCGACTCTAAACTGCTGTGTGGTTGTTGTTGTTGTCGCGTTACAGGAAAAAACTGTTTGCGTGGATCAAAAACTCAAGTCAATTAACTATATTTGTGTCTCGCTTTAAATATTCCAATTGGAATATACACCGTCTAAGTGTCTGCATCAGGCGTGGCACTTGCGGACTCTCGCTATACGTATAACCCAATTGGAGCATTGATCACACACACACACACACACACATACGCACCTAAATACGTGAATTTTGCCTAAACTAGAACAACAGCAAGACAACGGAAACAACGAAATGGATGATTTAGGTGAGTGCATACAGATACTTCCTAATTAAACGGCACCCTGTATAAAATACAGAGTGTGCGAGTAATAATGCTGCTTAATGTATTGCTGATGCTATGACTTTCAAGGTCAATTGTTGCTAGCGGCATAAGCATACATAGTTAATTAGCATTCCAAGTCTACTGTTGCTGACTATGGCCGGTAGATGGTGATTGAGTAATTCTGTAAATTGCTCTGACAATTTCAGCTAAGAATATGACTCTTATCTAATTTGGTTGGCTGGTTAATCATGTACGATTAGCAGAGCAAGCGTACGCACATAGACGCATACGTATACATACCGACATAAATACATACATTAAAATGTGCGTTTTAATGAAAATTTGTATATATATGTATGTGTCATATGTATCCTAATCTTATCGCTACTCATGAATACTTAAGATCCTCGCCATTGCATTTTTTGCGATTTTATGATTTACACGCATTCTTTGGAATCAAAAGCGACGCTGCAATCATTCATACGCGGGCATATTTAAGCGATTAACACTGAGGTGAAGTTAGCTGAGTAGTCCAGGTTATTGTAAATGATATGCGTTCGTTAGGGCAGTCACTTTTTCAATGGGTTTGCCATTTATTTGCCTTTATTTCTTCACACACACGAACACACACACACACACACACACATTTTTAGTCATCAGCCGAGTTTCACGTATGTATATTTGTATGTATGTAGATATGTATCGTCATTTTATTCGCAGCTGCCTTTGTTATTGTTGTTGCTATTTATTCTTCTTACTTTTCTTTATGACACAATTTCTGGGCTGTTTACTGCTTGTTGCGCTTGTTCTTAATGTCTTTTGATAAACACACACTCACACATGCAAGAATGGAAACATTCCTAAGAGTTGACTAAAGGCCACTCATACTTATTATGTGGAAAATCGACTAAGTTGACAGCTCTCTGGAAGTTTACAGTTTAAACACAGGCCCACGCACAGTGGTGCACTTATCTGCAAAATGAAAGCACAAATTTCATTCATCATGCGAACGACATCGAAAGCGCTGCACTGTCTAGTCTGCATTTCGAGTGGAGTGTGCCCACTTTATTGATTACTCCCGTCAAAGAGGCTGCCCACTCACCGCTCACCGATCACCACACGCAACATCTATGTCTGGAGTCGGGTTGCGTGTGTGCGGCAACGTTGTTGATGTGCCAGTTGATCATCATAATGTTGATTTTAGCGGATGCTGCAATTCGTTGTTGTGCGGATCACAGTGGTATTGGTAGTATTTTATTTTGTGCGCCACAAACAATTTTAACAAATCTAATCAGACAGTAGAAGCCATATCAAATAGTAGCAGGGATGACAGGTCGCAGATTAGTTGTCATGCTTTGACTTTTATTTTCACATACCGCGAGTGGCACTCGGTGCGCTCCACTGTGAGTGCAGATCGCTTCACAATCTGTGTCTGTTTTGCTGCTCATTTCTTATTGTGCCCTATGCCTCCCACTTGCGGCTTTCGTTTTGCGGCTTTGTTGCTGTCGCTGCGACGCTGTCGTCATAACCTCATCATCACGACATGCTGCAGCCTGCAGCCGCAGTCAGGCGGACGTTGGCAGTGGCGTGAAACAAATGAGATGAGCAACTTTTTGTTTGTTTATTTGAGCTCTTTCGCTCTCTTTCTGTCTGGCTCTGGCTCTCTGGAAAAAACTCTCTCAAAATGCGCGTGGCGCTCGTGAGAGCAGCATTACGTTTGCTTTTAGTGAAGCATTGCTGCTGCGTTTGTGGTTCCATTTCATGTTCCGTTATCGAGCACAAGCGCCAAGTTCTATTTCAGTTGTTTGCGACGCGTTTGTCTAGACACGACGCGGCGCGAAGAGATGCGCGTGTTTCATTCGGTTTCGGTCGGATTCGGCGTTCATGAATAAACAATAACAACAAATTGTGAGAGATTTGGACAAAGTGCAACTAATAAAAAAGAATAATAAATAAATATGTTCGTATTGAAGCACAGTGTTTGATGCAATCTGTTCAATCGAGTAATCGATAACAGCAAAAAGTGTCAATCAAATCGATCAAGTGCTTAATGTGAACCAAAATACGCTCAAAAACAAAAACAAGAAACAGTCAAACCAGCAGCACAAAAAGTCAATGAAAAATCGGTGGGTTTTCCGACAACATCAGATGGCATAGCGTGGGAATATTGTTTACTTAGGCTGAGGTATTTCGTTGCCAAAGTAGATCAAACCTACTCTAGCTCGCTAAAAAGATAATAACATATACGTAGATAAACCTCGACTGTGATAAAACAGGAATTTCAGTAGCCCAACAGATAACAAAAGAAAACCTGCTCAAAAAGAGACGCAAATTTGTTCGCACAGTAGATTAATGAGCCCACTGTCACTTAGCAAATCCCGTGAACATTCCGATAAAATCCATGCAGAGCTTTTAAAATTTAAATTTAAACTAATTATGAAGCTAATTTTTAGAAATCGAATAAACAACTAAATAAAGAACAAGATGAAAAACGAGAGATATGCCTAAATGTGACAAGAGATGTGAAATTTGGCTAGCGCCATTAATTTTAAACATGCCCGACAATCGGATTATATGATATACATATGTATTTAAGAAAAACTGAGACTAATGCCGTGGGCGTTGAGCGGGGAAATTTGTTAATTTGACTGGAAAATGTGTGGAAGACAATAATAAAAGTAGAGCGATGATGACTTTCACTGATATCAACTTATGCTTGAGCATAATATAGTCAAAATCATTCATCTTCAGTCTCTAGGGCGTTTACACATGCTTATTCTGAAAGTGCTTATACCCGCTATGTTAGGGTATACGATGTTACAGCAATTACAAACGATGGCTATTATGAATATACGACATTTTACACACGTATTTCAAGCACTTGAAATAAATTGTAAACAAAGTCGCTTTCATTACGAAAGTACTCAACAATTGGGTGCACATGAATGCATATGTATATAAATATGTGTATATATTTTTAAGGGGATCATCTCGTCGAGTCTCGTGCATGTAATGCACTTATTGGAATTGCTTTCGATTTGCCGCCAAACCGAATTCCAATTAGTTACAAACAATATCGCTGTATCTCTCAAGTGCTACCCACTCTCCCTCTCTTTGAGTTGGCTCCTCTTCGCCCACGCCCATGCGAGCATCCACTCTGCCTAAACTCAGATCATATGTTTGCTCTAAGCATTTGTCGTGCTGAACCGAACTGAATGCAATAGACGGGAAGTTAGCACCTTTTTCTTAGGTATAGGAAACGTCGTCAATCCCCTATCGCCTCGCTCGCTTTGTCGTTCGCGTACAATGAGTTCATCGTTCAATTTGTTAGCGTAGTGCGAGTCGAGTCGAGTCGAGTAGAGTTGGGTTGAGTCGCGCAAGTTCTCATTTTCAATCAGCAAATCGATTCTTATCTCCAAGTGCCGACTCATAAAATATCAATTAGTACGACGACGAAGGGGAAACAGCTGAGATGCTCTGCTTCTACTTTAGACAAATAGAGACTGTCTCTTCTCTCTCTCTCAAGCTGAACACTTAGAGAAGCCTCACTCTTATCTCATCAGAGAGCAGCAGGGCCACCCACACAATAGTTGGATCTCTTTTAAATTAACAACAGCATAAATTATATAAAGCCTTGTTTCTACAGTTATAAATTGGGATAATAAGCCCGGCTAGCTTGTCAACCCGAATCTAACTTTGGAATAGTTATAAAGAATGCGAAAGAATCTGATAAAGTTACTCTTTTAGTTCTAAACTTGAATTACAAACATTACCAACTTTTAGAAAAATAAAACTCGATACGAGAAAAATTTCTTCTGTTTAGTAATTTCAAATCATTGATTTGTACATTGTATAAAATCGTTTTATAGCAGCATAAACTGAACTTATTTATGGCCCATAGAGAGGTCAGCAGAGATCACCCACGTGAATGTAGAATTTTCATTGCTTTACGTTTTCACCTTTGGCGTTTCACGCAAGGTCGGCCCAAATTTTATGTACTTACCTATCAAATATTCATAGAGTATTTATAGAGAGATCTAGCTATCGTCTGCGGCGTCGCGTCGGTCAACAAGAGTCCAAGTCCATTGAACACTGGCCGCCCGGCGTTGCTTGGAATTTCCTGCACCCAAAAAAAAACTCAAACGAAAATGAAATCATAAAAGATCACACTTTGAATATCCGATATTCGAATACCCTTGCAAATATGAACTATTTGTTACATGGTATTCCTAGAGTAGAAGTTTGATTGAACCGATGAATAATCACAAAAAGAAACTAGTGAACATTTTCACATTGGTTCTTGGTTTGGATAATCTGTTATTCAATAGCTTATTAACTAAGCATTAATTTGACACTTTTAACTGAGCAACTGGATATAAAATAAATAATTATCAAGTACGACTGAGCAAGTAACTGGAACATATGGTCCTAGAACTGTTGAGCTGGTAAATAGAATTCACTTCAGAAAATAGAACTGCTAACTAAAGTTTAAAATTCGTTAGAAAGTTCGAGAAATTCGGATTAAGAATATATAGATAATCGGACAGTTAAAGATGTTTCTCAAATTATAGATTGAGCGATCTATAAATCTAGAGAAATGAAGAACTAAAGAACTATTAAACTAGATTTCTTTGTAAAGCTACAGAACGAAAACTAGTTGAAAATTGAACTGAACTACGAGAATCATAGAGAGAAAAACGGGAGATATAGGCAGAACTACAACACATCTAGAGAAATATAGATCTATAGATATATAGATCAATAGAACTGTAGATCTTTAGTACTAGTAACAACTAAGAAACTTGATAATTGGAGACTTAATCTAAAAAAGTTGAGAGTTAGAGAATTAGAGATTCATAGAAAAAGAGATTTATAGAAATAAAAAATTTAAGAACTCGATTTAGATAACAAAGAATGTAACTGAAGGACTATCGACGAAGGGAACTATAGACGGGAACTTTATCTTAGAGAGCTATATAACTATAGAATCATAGGGACTAGGGAACTGGAGAAAACAAGAGATATATAACAGTAGAACTAGAGATTAACAGAACTCTCGATCAAGAGATCAAAAGTAGACCACTATAGAACTGATAGATTGGAAACAGGCGAATCGCTTTAGCTCGATATCCGCGTCCACAAAGGTGTCTTTTCCTGTGCCTAATAGTGGATATTGCCTCGCTTAGGGTATGCTAATATTATCATGCCGTTGACTTTTAAATTTAGAACTGGCAAACACAATCGTTAGTTATTCCTTTCTGCTTCTTTTTCTCGTTTCTATTGTGGATCCGTTGCTCTGTTGGCGTCTGCCCAGCGCGAAAAGCTGGAAAAGCGTGTGGAGATATCTTTGGCTACCTTTTTGGCAATGCACTGCGGAAATGTTAGGGCATTTCATCTGTTATTTCTTTTTTCATTTTGTTGTTTTTTAATTAAATTTTGGGCGTTAGGTGAATTTGCTGCGCTGATGCTGGTCGAGGCGAAAACGTCGCCTTTGATTTGCGTGTACTGCTCTTTTTTTTGTGTTTAATTTATTTTTAGTTCTTGATCATGGCGTTGACGTAATTTGGCAACCTTGATTCCCCGCTAGCATCCAACCCGGCGACAAAAACAACAAACACGAAAACCTGCTGCTGCGCTGAACATTTTTGTTGTTTTATTCTTGCCTGAATTTATGTTTATTATTTGTTACCTTTTCAATGTGTCGCTATTTGTTTGGACACATGTTGACTGTATTTTCTTTTGGTATCTAAATGGCTAATAAATCTGGCCTTATGGCATCGCCGGATCAACCTGATCGCCTGTCATCCGTGGGTGATCATCAATTATCAATGTCTCATATATCAACTAAAACTGCATTTTATTTATGTTGGAAATCCCACTCACTTTTACTTGAAACATTTGCTTAGATTGGGAAATGCGGGAGGCGTGTCTTTGAACCAATCTTTTGAAAAGCTTTAATGAATGATCTGTTTAATCCGATAAGTAAAAATACCTTGAGTTGGATTCATTTTTTAATGTTATTTCTTTATGTCTTGTTTTATGTTTTCTTATGTAGTAATGAGCTTAAGACAACGCCTGAGATAACATATCTGAGAAGAAATCCCTAAGATGTTACTGAGCCTTTTTTATAGTCAAATGTTCTTAGTTTCGAGTGACTCTCGATTGAGATTCTTTATCAAAAACTGAGACGAATATATAGTCTTCTTTTCTGATTTGCCATTGTTCTATTGACCTATGTATGTACATAGTTTTTGCTTTAAAAGAACAAATGACGTTCGTTTACAGAAAATGGAGCACATTCACAATTGCCATGCACCAATGTAGTCTTGGATGGCTTATCTAAAAATCTATTTCAAAATATAATGATTCCTGGTTTTGCACGCTTCTACTGGGATATGAAGGAAATATAAACCAACTGTGGGTATCAATAGATGCATATTAACGAAGAGTCAGAAAAAGATTGCACAAAACCAATATGCCCGCTTCAGAAGGAGGTTATTAAATTGGCATACATTTTATTAAATTATACTATTCATATTCATTGAACAACCCAAAACCTTGAACAGAATTTTGCAAATTAAATTGATTAATTAAATTTTATTTTATATATAGTATTAGATTTTTTCAAAAATTGCCTTCAGACTAAATTTAAAGGATTTTACAGATTGAAACTTTCTGTTCCATTCCATTTCATTCCATAAATTTCCATGAAAAATGAACTACTGAACTTATTCATTTGGATAGTGAACGATTAATCTCACAGTCGCGAAATAATAACTTATTAACAATTATATTATTTTTTTATTGAGGAACTTTAAATTGAGTCGCATGAATCGTGAACTTTTATATTAAATGAACTATCAAACATATAGTTCACGACATGAAAATGATAGATTGAACTCTGTCATCGGGTTGAACTAGAGCCGGCAAAGTGCTGAACAAATTCCATTTCTCTTGGTCGCTCTTAACGTGGCATCCCCTAGCCCCCATTTGTAGCATTTAGTGGATGACTGTGGTCGGGGAACTTCTGGGACAAAACTCTTGACAGACAAACGGATACCGAATGACAGCCAAACTCAGCACAAACAAAACGACAAATCCGTCGACGGACGGGTCTCACATGGCCAAAAATAAAAATGCGCTCGGGAAGAGGCAGTCGATGCGAAAGCTTTTAAATAACTCAGCCAAGTGCATTGGGTGGAGCACTACTATATAAAATACTATCCAAGTCTAAATAATATATTACAGATGCAATCTGTTTGTGTGAACTTTCGATTTTTTATTGACTTTTGAATGCAGCTAGAGAGCAAAGTGTTACACATATATATACACAAATATAAATCAATATCAAGTCAAAATGGATCGAACTATGTATGGGAAAATTGATCCAGGAGCGCGACAACCCTATCGCACGGTGCGCAGCAAGGGCATCCAACCGGGCTGTAAGTATTCATTAAACTAATCCGACTCAGCTCCCAACTCACAGATAAAGTGCAGAGGCGTCTCGCAGGAGGCGTCATTCATTTGAAACCAGCTGCCTGGTCGCCAGAGCTCCACGCAATGCTCCACGCCGCCAATGTTGTCCGGCTGGCCGGCGGACCAGCGCAGGAACTGGGCATCCTTGCCCGTTGCCTGCGATGCGTATACGCCCGGTGTGGCCAGCTCATAGAGCGATAGCCAATAGCTCTTCGCTGGGTGCAATCGGGCACTCAGCTCGACTAGCTCCTTCTCACTCTCCAGGTTGACCAGAAAGCCGTTCAGCTGGCGACAGAGATTGCTCGCATGGAACCAATTCACGCGCAGCGATTCCTCAATGTAGTAAATCTTCTGGCCTATCGGAGTTGCATTGACTAGAGAGGGTCTCCTGATAGCTGCTGTGATATATCAAGAGTTTTGCTAGAGTAACTTAGCTGCAGCTGCAGTTTTAGCTGCTCACCTGCATCAATGGGCGTGGCTTTGAGGCTTAGAGCACCCAATAGCAACAAAAGCAGGAAATGTTTGCACATTTTGTGTGTCCGTCCGCACGCTTGACGATTAGATGTGTAACTAGCCCAAGTATGCTCTATTCGATTTGCGTGATAAGTGCAAAATATGATAGTACTATTGATAACTTAAGTTGACAGCCAAGCAACAACAACAACAACAACAGTGCTCGCTCGCTATTTGAAACGCTTTGAAATTGCAATTATTGTACAATTTTGTTACATATATGATGTATGTATCTATCTGTCTATCTATAAAAGTGCAAGATTTTATTATTGTTATATGGATCGATTTGAAAAACTATTTCAACAGAATCCTACATTTTCTCTATTAAATCAATTTTCTTTAATGGGCCATAAAATATGTTTAAAAACATATGGCATCCGTATAAAAAAATAAATAATGTGACTAAAAAATTAAAAAAAAAAAAAAAAAAAAAAAAAAAAAATACCAAAAAGTGAAAAGTAGATTATATTCTTGTTATTAATTAAATCCGACAAAAAATAATTTTAAATAATATAATGGCCAAGGAATTATTTTTTTTTCCATTTACACAGAAATTCTATTTATCGAGAACGATTTTTTTTCAATATAGTCTTACAAATAATTTTCTGGTTAGCCATTGACCACTGTACCTCAATGATATCATTTGCTTGATATTCGTGTGCATCCCCCATAAAAAAATCTGAGTTTACACAATTCGCTGTTCGAAATCTATTGATATATTTCATACTGACAAACCGAACACAAAAGACATTGCATAAAATTAACTAACTCTCTACTTTCTCAGCGAATCCTAAAATTCGACACTTGTAATAACTTACTGTACTATCTTAAGCGCCATCTACATCTCGTCTTAAGAACTTCAGTGCGTTTCCATACTGTTGCATACTTTTAGGCAAGTCAATTTTCTAGTTTAGATTTATAATATTAGAGATAAGAAGTTAATGTTTTTGTACACTTCTCGCTCGCGATATAAGAAGAGTGTATTCGACTGTCCACATGGAATTGAGGACTTCATATTTGCAATACTCTTTATATAGTTGCAAAGTCAACAAAAGCTATGATAAGTTTTAAAGCAATAATTGCGCAATTATTGTTTTCGTTTATCGTGCTTTGTATAAACATTTGAGTTACAAAAAGAAAACTTTGTGATGTAACAAATGAAATCTCTTGTGCCTATAGATCGAAAGTCTTTGTAAATGGAACTGAAAAAAAAAAAAATACTTTGGTCTGTTGTTGATACCCTGCAAATGCCTGAAGAGCATTCAAAAGGGAGAAAATTATACCAATTCTAGCTATTCACTATTCACAAATTGAATATGTGAAATTATTAATATAAATGTTGTAGAAATTAGTAATATTGCTCAAATAATCTGTAATATATAATATATATATTTCTATTATAGTACTTAAAAATTATTAAGAAAGTCTTGTCAAGGTCCCCAAAAACTATAAATATTTCACATTTCACTCAGCGGTAAACTTTCATAATTTTATAATACTCATAGATCCCAAGTATTGAAAATTTGTTAGGAATCTTAATCTGCGTGTAACAAAGAGTATTATAATACGGATAACATTATCAGTCAACAAATATAATTTCGACTTCTACATTATTGTCGACAACAATTGCTAAAAACAGATTCCAACTTTTTATTGGCTATATCTATTGATTTACGTATAAATTAATATGAATTGTTTCATATACAGACATATTCTAATAAATATGGGTTATATAAAAGATCATATAGAAATATTTCTTAAATTAAAAAAAAAAAATTAAACATTAACGTGAATGTGAAATGGAAAATCTTGAAGACCTCAAATTTAAAGGTATTTGCTAGTCGAGACATTAGAACTGAAGCTTTTTCATTTGTTTCTCAATGCTCGTAATTATAGTTCACTGAGAACCACTACATTCACACTATTCGAGATTGCATCAAAAGTGAAGTCTCAACTTGTCAGACTTTGATTTGAATATTTTGAATTCAGTTAGTAATTGAACGTCGTGCGGTTTCCATCACAGGTGCAATTGAATTTTGTATTTAAGTCATGAGAATCGGTAAGCATGAAAAATCGGGTAATCTAAAGTCGGGCCAGGGCGGGAACGGAACGGGTTTAGTATAACGACCCTCGCGACGTGGTTCATTCATTAGATCATTTCATTCATTCAGCGTCAGCTGAAAATTGACATTCAATGTGGGCGTCGCATAGTTTCTGCTGCTGTTCTATATTCGCCTATATATTATAAATATCTATGTATCTATGTGTATGTATATTTATATACATACCTTGATTGGTGATTATGTAAGCGGTCTTAAATGCCGAGCTAGCTGATTCAATGTTAAGTCAATAAGCCTTGATAACGCCAAGCCCGACCAGATGTTGATGCAACGCTTTGGGATTATAATTATGCGTTCCCTCGTCAGACCGGAAGTTCTTTTACAATAGAGTTGGAACCAGTTCCAATAACAAATAAAACTCTGTTCACTTGTATTATAATCCCTGTCTTTGTGTTTCAAAGTAAACAACACAACTTCAGCTGGAGACAACTTAAATTTCAGCTTGTTAACCTTATTGAACTGCCCGCTGGAAATCGGAGTAATCAATTGTAGCTGTCAGCGTCGAAATAGAGAGCAAAACCTTGTATACAAAAGAAACAACAACAGTCTCTGACAAATTAATACGAAATAATCAACAAAAACAATTTTAATTTGTTGCCGTTTGTCGTTTGCTGTTTGTTTTGTTTTATTGCTGCATACTAATTTTAGTTTTGGTCAAAGTCAAGTGACTCATCGGGGCACACAAAAAAAAAACAAAATAGAAGAAAACGTTTAAAGTGTTCGGGATTCTGCTCGGCAGGTGGCGCCTCTGAGACAAACGCCCACAAAGACTGCGTGTAGCAGGCACAAATGGCAACGTTTTCTCAACACCAAACGCAAGTGTTGTAATCAGCAACAACAACAAGATCAACAGCTGCTGCAGCAGCAGCAGCAACACCAACACATAGACACAAACACATGCCCAATTCAGTTTGAGCGAGTTTTCCCACCCTCTCTTGAGTGAGTTGTACGCTGCACACTGGGCTCGCATACTGCAAATAGTTCGAGTAGAAACTTTGTAAACACTCGATAAACAAAAAATCTATAGGCATTTCAAAAGCATTATGGGATTAGTACTATATAATGGCAAAATGCACTTAGTTTGACTAATTAAAAATATATACATATATACATTATTTATAAACTAAGGCTTTTATTCAAAAGTTAAGAAATTTTGTAATTTCACCGATTCGTTGAGTTCTTGGCTTATGTTTAGTATAGCAGTACAACTAGCAACTCATTTTAGTAAAAAAAAAAAAAAAAAGATTTTCAACATGCATGTAACCAGTGTGCACTGCTGCTGTTAGACTTGCCTCTGCCTTAGCTTCAGCAACGGTTTTCGTCCGGCATCTTGTTCAGTTGCTTTTAAGATTTTGCCGAGCGAAAAATAATTTTTGGTGATCCGCTGCGTTGCTCTGTGCGTAAAAAAAAACGTCGATCGATTGTTTGTGTAAAATTGTTGTTGGTGTTTGTTTTTTGTGTGTGCACCCGTCCGCCCGCTTATAACATAATATTTATACTTATTCGCCGAAGTGTGTGCACTAGTGCTGGGAAAAGATCGATCTTTACGTAGATCGATATTTCGATATTATGTATGGGTCTCAGATCGATGTATCGATATTTTCATAAACATATTTTAGCTCCCAAAATTAAAAAAAAAGTTTTCATATAAAAAACAAAAGATGAATTTCTTATTAAAATTAAAAAACGTTTCATATAAACTAAACTAAACTATGTAACAAAGATTATATTATTTAATAAGATCATTTACTTCGTCCAATCATTTTTGTTTATGAAGAGCAGCATATCTACTTGCTGCGGCTTGAGACAAGCCTCTCCATTTTCCTTATCCGCGTCGCAATCTACAAACAAATGCGTGTTTGTTACATTATTTTAAAACGCAAAAGCTGCAGACCACGTGTGTGGCTGACATAAGCAGTAAAATAATATTTACCTTCGCCATTGTCCTTGCTGTTTAAAAACTTATCCATTTCTCTACAACACTACCAACACCAAAATCCTAAATGAAAAGTGGGTTACGTTAGTATTTGAATTATATTGTTAAAATAATTTGCAAATTACCTGACAGTCTTATCCCACGCTTTTAATTCAAGTGATGGGGAATTAATGGTATAGTGATGGCGATATATCAAGTATCGAAGTTTTCTACATCGATATTTTCGATGGATATGAAACATCGATATATCGTTTGCTAGATCGATCTTTTTCCCAGCACTGGTGTGCACGTGTATGTGTGTAGAATTTAAAAAACCCTGCGAATTTCGATCAAAGGAAAACAACACCAACAATAACAAGAGCATCAACAATTGTGAAACACATGAAAACGAAAGTGACAGCCGCAAGCTGCATAAATATGTAACACAATGTCAACAGCAAAAACCAAAAGCCATATGACGCAGACGAAGCTGTTGAAAAGCAGCGCAGTCAAGAGCATAAAATAAAACAAAATACAACAAACAGCAACAGCAATAAACTCAATAAGCAACAGCATAACAACAATTGAAAATGCGCGTGCTGCTTGACCTGCTCTACGCTTTGCGCTCTCGCCCACGAATTCGCTAGCTATACATGTTCTCCCGCTCCCTCTCTCTGTGAGGCATCGGTCGCCGTTATAACAGCTGTCATATGTTCGAATTCGAGTTCGACTGCGACTGCGACTGCGACTATTGTGAATATGATTGCACTGCCACCCTGTTGTCCCCGCTGAGCATCTCTCTGCTTGTCTCTCTCGCCAATGTTGAATTTGTTTTGTTTTCTTGTTTAAACTGCAATTAAATAACTTCGATGCGATGCTCACTCAATTGCTGCTCCGTCCATCTCTATCTCCCTCTCTCCCTCTCCCTCTCTCACCAATGCTAAATGGTGGCTTTTAATTGATTTTAATTGCGTTTTAATGAACGCTACTTGACAGAAATGTCAGTTAATAGTTAAAAATTGTCATCTTCGCTGCATTTTGGTTATGATGTTTAGAGAATTTCTAATAGAACTTAAAAGTATATGAAATATTTTAAATATAAAGTTTTTTTTTTTTTGAATGCAATATTTACAATGGCATAAAAAATAATGTTCATATTTAATGTTATATACATATTACATATACATTAATCACTCAGACTAAGCCATCAGTTCTTTAGACATTCTTAGCATCTTGACTTTTATATAGTCAAAAATAACTTAATAAGATTCATGTCGATTTCCGAATCATTTCCTTTTCTACATAAATCCCATAATAATTCATTCGGCCCCACAATCTTGACGTTGACCCACTGAAGCGCGACGCTCTGATAACCCTGCCAGCTCTATTTATAGTGAACTATCCCCAATCGCCATCTGGTTCAGGCCATATACCATATGCAAATATATGAATAGACACTCTTAAAAGTCAACCACATGTTCGAATACCCATATAGTTCGATCGTTTGCTTTCGATTTATTTTTAAGCGAATTGCGAAACGATTTGCCATTTATCTGATATTTCCATAAAGTCAGAAAACAACTTCTTAAATATAGATCATCGCAGCTATCTTTTTATATTTTCACAATAAATTTTCTGCCAAATTTCTGCGTTCACAGCTATTTTCCCACTCATTTGCTCTTATATAACTCAAAGATCTCACTCAATTTGAGTGAAACTCATTTTCTGCCTTCTCTTTGCTGGCATTGGCCCAATTGCAGGTGGCACTAACTTTTGAACCCAACGGATTAGAATCGACGCCAAAGTATATATATGTATATACAAATACATATATAGATAATGTTTTAAAATCCCTGCTCGATGATTCGTTTGATTTATTTTTGGGTATTTCAGCTCTGATGTATTAATCGCTAGCTGTCATGTTCTACGTATGACAGTGTTTTCTTTTCCATTCTCTCTTATCGCCTTGGTTGGGCAGGTTAAACAGACAGAACTCTGAAGGTGTGAATCGCTTACAACGTGCAATATTGTTTTTGGATAAAATTGTTTTGCTTCCATGTAATACAATCAATATAAGCTGTATAAGCTTGAGTACAATATATTTCTCTTTCATATTTTTCGATATTCAATTTGAACATTTACAAAAATTAGACAAAATATTTATGTTGTATATTGCATATCGAGTTTGTAATGTTTACATTTGATATACATAACAACAAAATGTAAACAAAACAATGAAAAAAAGATTTTACTTTAAATTTGGAAATATTGATTCATATTGAAATAATAAAAAATAATACTTTTTCATTTTTTTTTTACGTGCTTCGTAATAATAAGAATGTATATCTATATACATATGTATATGTATGTATGGCATATCTTGGCTGGGCACAGGGTATATAATGGTCGTGTACAATCAAGCCGAGCACGCACTTTTGTTTGTTTGTTGCTTTTAACCAAATTATAGCTAAACATAATGCAAACAACGTTAATTTGATCAGATATATCGACAACGGGCCTTACAAGCACACACACACATCCGTATATATAAATATATTTATATAATCATCATATATGCGATATTTCGTGCATTGGCGCGATTTTTAGCTCGCTCGTCTAGTTCGTCCCACGAGAAACATATCAAAAATATAAATATATACATATATAAATTTGATATAATGTGTGTGTGTAGACCTCGTCTACTGTTCGATGCCCGTCACACCCTCTGCCCCCTGCTGCCGACCCTACATTGCTTATGTCCATTTCGAACGAGGCGTGGGAGTTGTGGCTTTTTGTTTCTGCTCAAATTGAAAATTGAGTTTTCATGCAGCTTGGCAACTGAATTTCGAATTCTCAGCTCTATATTGTTGTTGTTGTTGTTGTTGCTGTTGAAATACGTTGAAATTTCAAAGAGATTTCTATTAAAGGAACTAATCGAATCGTTTGTACCTCGTTCAGCATCTGCATCGAATTTGGCCAAATTCCTTTTTGGGCTTACTAAATGTCTTCGAAACTGATATCATCGTCGTTCCACAGCTCGCCCCTCAACGACTGCTTCAAAGTGGGCGTGTTTGAGAGACGTTTGGGTAAGTCCACAGCCGACAAGTGCGTGACGAACTGTAATATGTGGGCATGGGCCAGGCCAAGAGATTTCCAATGCCAATCCCAAGTTCAAGTTCAAGCGTAATTGGCGAAAGTATAGAAAGGCTGGGCTAGACATTCTTAACTAAATATAGAGATAATAAAACATAAATATGCGCCGCGAAATTCGCGTTTCATCTGATTAGTATATTTTAATGAGGCCTATATAATATTTTAATTTGGGCTATATATTATTAGTAGCTCTCTATTAGTTGTGCTCTATAAGCAACCCCAGTCTTAATTAATATTGCATATGTAAGGATGATTAAGTATTTCATACATCATCAGTATTATTAGTATTCTTTGTTTGGGATTGTTGATGGAATACAGTTTTTCGATTTATAAGTCGATGATAAGTCGAAGTTGTCAAAGCGGAAAACACAGTTTTCCAGACTCGGGAATCATCATGCCGACTTCTTCGGTAAATCAATAAATTAGTTCACCGTACAATCCTAAGTTTCTATCTTTTAAGGTAATTTATTGCTTATTTCCCACGCCCTTTAAACATTTCTTAGATATTACGCTATCTGCAGGAATATATTTCATTTATAATATTCCTTAGTAATAATTCACCTTCCACCATCCAGCCATGATTTGTCACAGCTTCTAGAGGACGTAATAATATAATCGGAATATCGCAACCGTAATTCCCGTGTCCAGTTTTAGTGCTCTACATTGACAACAATGAGTTGAGAGATCAGTAATTGAATTATATTAGTATACATACATATAATTAGTCTATGCCAAACAAATATAAAATTTTTTCATTAAAATTCAATGCAATTCAGTTACAACTAAGGTTGTCGAATATTTTTAAAATATCGTATCGATGATATTCTAAGTTAAAAAAAAAAAAAAATGTCAATATGACATGTAACTTTAAAAATAAATATATCAATATTATCGATTTTTTAAAAAACTTTGTCCGTTCCAAAAAACAAGAATAATATGAATAAGTATTATTTATTTAAATGAAAAGCGCGTATTCGGTACTCAAAAGCATCATAGTGCTTGTTTTTCATGCGACGCTATATTTAATGTGCTAAAACTTGTTTTCATTATCTTAAGGCACAAATTACATTTGGCTTTTCCATTATTAAAGTCAGAATAATATGTTTTCACCATATTCATTTTTGTACATTCGCAATGGAATCACTTATCACAGGAGTGACCAACGCAAATATATAAAATATATCGCAAAAATATTCCATACTTTGGCAAAAAAAATATTTAGATCAAAATATATTTCTGTTAAAAAATATATCGATATATAAGTGTTTTGATATATTTTCAAACACCCTAGTTACAACTATATTTTCATCACAAGCCGAGTTTTAGAATGTATAAATATATAACGCAAATATATTTGGGCTTCACATGTATTTCATAAAGTATAAATATTAGTAATATATGCAATATCCAGCTAACTTGTAGAAGACGTTATATTACATTTGTTCTTAGGTCTATCCGTCCGTTGATATTAAAACCTATCAGAAATGAAGTCTTGAAATTCTTAGATGCGACGGTAATTGCATGCTTTATAGATCTAAACATTTTCAGTTTCAATAAAAATGATTTAGCCATTATATAATTGCTTTAGGAAAGTATTCTACTCCTACCAGTACTCATAAAACGTATCGCCAATAGGCAAGCTTGTATTGAGAGTTTTAGTATTTTTGTTTATTATATTAAAACCTTGCGGAAAAAATATTCTATGATTGGTTAGAAAATCCTATTGACCCGTTTTGAAATAGGAAAATTTTACCATAATAATCGCTAATTTATTGACATTTTCCTTGAGAAATATTGAGTAAATATAATAAAAAAAAAAGAATACTCATAAGTTTATTAAATATACATTCCTGTTAAGGAATTCAAATTAAGCTAATTACTAAAGCTTTTAAACATATTTTTCCACTTAGTGCAGACAGCAACCCAGTCCAACTATAAAAGCCCTAAGAAAAAGTAAATTTTGTCTAAGTTTTTATTTACTTTTGCTTGACTGCTCCGATAACGCGAGTAAGCGTTGATATTCCTTATCAGTTAGTTTTGGCTTTTGGCTAGATATATAGCCAAGTGAATAATTGTTTGGACAGCAGCTATCAGTCGTGCTATGCGTCAGAAGGGAAACGTTTAGTTGGTTGCGATCGTCTGGGCAGGGTTTCTGGGCCATGGCTAACTATGGCGATTACGATAATCTGGGTTGGAATGGAATGTGCCACAAACAAGTTGCACCCACATTTAACACTCTATTTGTTTTCTATTGCTTCAGATGCACTACTCGCCGACTTGCAGAACAGCGTACCGGGGCAGCAGACACAGCCGCAGTATGGAATTGTCCAGTCCAAGCAGCAGCAGCAACAACAACATTTTGTGGACAATACGCCCGGCTATGGCAGCCTGAGGGGCAAAGCACAACAGTCGCAGCCGCAAGTGGTAAGTGGCAATTGCTTTGAGTTGATGTCAGTTGATTAATTAAACCACTTTATGCGGCAGTACCAGGAGCATTACAGCGTGGAGACCCGGTCCCCCACTGCAGCTGAATTCAATGGCTCCGGCCAGCAGAGCAATGGCTATCAGCATCAGGGCACTGGATCGCTGCCACGCTCTGGCTACAGCAATGGCCAGAATAGTTCGGGCTTGTCGGAGCTGGACTCGCTGCTGCAGGATCTGCAGAATGCGCGTTACAACAACGGCGGAGTGGAGCGTAAAGGTGAGTTAAGATGAGGCTAAAAGACGAAGTCACCAATTAATTATTGTTCACATTGTTCCAGAAGTGGAAGTTCCCGTTAACTACAGTACGCCCGTCTCCAAGTACAACACCTTCAACAGCTACGCCTCGGTGGAGGATCGACCCTCTGTGGACAGCCTACTCAACGAACTGGATAACGCTCACATTTATGCTGTGCCCAACGGGTAAGAGCTATGCGCGTATCTACATTTCCTTATACTTAACTGTGTGCCTTTCAGATCTGCACATAAGTCGCCCACGCCTGGACGACATGTAACTATCACGGTGCGCGAGACTAAGACCGAAAAACTCACGGGTCCCGATGGACCAGGTACTGTGAAAAGTGTATTTTAATGGCCCAAATAGAACCGGATTACTCAATCATATATATTTGTTATAGTTGGCACCATCGAGGAGCAAATCGTGCAGAAGAAGGATTCGTACTCGCCAAATCTTGTCGCGCCAGCGCCAGCCGTTAAACATCAAGGCTACACATCGCAGGCCACCAAGGAGCTGGATGACTTAATGGCTTCGCTATCTGACTTTAAGGTAAGCCGGTGTAACCGCGTCGAAAACGGATTCGAAACGGAATGGGACAGATACTGATGACTCTATGTTAGGCAATCAGCATAAGTAAATGTGAGACATTATTAGTAAAGTCGAACGGAAAGTATTTATCGATTATCAGATTTGAGAAATCATCATAGAACATAAATACTTTGAGTGCTCGTCAACATTTATTAATGTTTGACTAATATCGAAATGGTTAAAGAATGTTAATTTTAATACTGATGACCGATATTTAAATTGTGAGTTAAAATGTGAGCTAAAAGTACTTGAAACCGATGAATGGTCGCATAGACAATACTCTGTTGGAAATATGAATTCCATTGCTATGAATGTATGAAAAAAGCAATAATATCCTTAAATAGTCCCTATGACTATGGAGCGCCTCTTGCTCGTACATGTGATGTTCTGCTTTGTAAATTCCATTTAAATTACTGGAAATTGGAGAAAGAACAAGTCACCTATTCTTGTCGATGGGCGTTTAGATTCATCACATATCATCATCATCATATTCAACACCATATTCATCAAATTGAAACACCATCCATAATTCAACCATTCTGCGCAGTTTCAAGTTTCCCAATTATAGTGATCCTGCGTTTCCAAAATAGTCTCCCAATGACTTCAGTTTAAAGTTTTCCTCCTCTCCCCCAATCAGGAAGTGACTGTATAATCATTGGAAATTTTTAGATAAATATACAGTTCATGTTGCTTGTAGTTCGTCAGTAAGAAAATCTTATTGAGATATATTAATATTCTCCGCATAGTTTACCGAAGCCAGATAGCCAGATTATAGTCAGTCAGTCAGTATAGCATTAATAGAGTTTTAGTTTTTGGTTTCAATATTTCCGAATCCTTCTTGTTTTGTTTTTCTCTTACCCGTGCGACAATATTATTTTTGTTTAAATTTAAATGTGTTAGCACTTGTTTTCATTATCTTAAGGCACAAATTACATTTGGTTTTTCCATTATTAAAGTCAGAATAATATGTTTTCACCATATTCATTTTTGTACATTCGCAATGGAATCACTTATCACAGGAGTGACCAACGCAAATATATAAAATATATCGCAAAAATATTCCATACTTTGGCAAAAAAAATATTTAGATAAAAATATATTTCTGTTAAAAAATATATCGATATACTAGTGTTTTGATATATTTTCAAACACCCTAGTTACAACTATATTTTCGTCACGAGCCGAGTTTTAGACTGTATAAATATATAACGCAAATATATTTGGGCTTCACATGTATTTCATAAAATAAACATATTCGTAATATATGCAATATCCAGCTAACTTGTAGAAGACGCTATATTACATTTGTTCTTAGGTCTATCCGTCCGTTGATATTAAAACCTATCTATCTCCATTGCCATTTTATCTATTTTATTTAGAAAATATTCTATTGTTGCTTTATCGATATTTTTTTATATGATGATAATTCCTTGTTAAGTTCATTTATATTAGTATGTCTTGTAACTATGGTCTCTTAAATGATATCTAATAAGTCCATTTCGGTCAAGCAAAGGTTTTTATGTGCATTACTCAGTGCTAGTTGACTTTCCAGAGATTCGATAGTTGATTTGAGCTTTATGATTGTATTAGTTAATTTGTAGAACTATTTTTGCTTCGATTGAGCTTCGTCAACCTTCAGCATCCTTTATCAGTAAAAGTTGGAATTACCACAAGTAATCTCATATTGTCCTGGCATGCTTGGCTGCAGAATTTGAAATTGTTAATAAAATTAAAAGTGATATGCATCACATATCATATAATAATAATAATAATTTATTTATAATCTTGATTAACAGTTGACTTAATTCACAGTATCTTCTAGAGGCATATTTCCTATTTGAATTGACTTGGTCAATTTGTAAATATAAAATTGAAGTTTGAACTCGGTCGACTTAAGTAATATAGAAGACCTCGATTGATATTCAATAATTCGATAAATAATGATATTGATATCCAAATTATTCTTGACTGTAAATCCCTGGAGCCAATTCGAAATGATACTTTTCTTCGGTTTATTATATTTTTAATGAATACTTTTGTATTCCGCGATATTTATCTATTTTTATAATACATACATGTATATCTATGTATAACTATCAGTTCTTATAGTTTTTATGAACTTTTTATGTTCAATATAAAAATGTTTTGATTTTCGTACAGGGTACATTTAGCCGAATTATACTTTTAATTGTTCTCTCTGTTTAAAGGCAGCAAATTTATATTTATTTACACATACATAGAAATGTATATACTATATATATATATTAATATTATTTGATATAGAGATATAGTTGTTTTTATTATATATTTATATCCCGTTTTACTCATTACCTTAAAATCTTAGGCTCCTACGTACAGAGCCGTATTTTCAAATATTTGTTGGTGGGCTTCATTCGCATCGGACTTGTTCATAAATGTAATAAAAACCATAAAATGAACAAATTTATCATGTCAAATCGTGTGACGCATATCGCTTAAGCACATCTAATGATATACACGTTCCTATGTTTGCCCTTAACCTGTAGTATATCTGCTCTCTCTCTCTCTCTCTCTCTCTCTCTCTCTCTCTCCTCTCTCTCTCTCTCTCTCTCTCTCTCTCTCTCTCTCTCTTTCTCTGGCTTTATAAAATGATGAGCTCTTGACTTTGACTTATGTTGAAACCAAATTGAAGGTGAAACTTTGAATTTCTGCATAAATTACATACACATATCTATACAATCTCAAATCATTGGTAAATTCGAGCGATTTTTTATTTATATCCTACCATAAATACTCAATGGGTATCTCTAGGTACATAAAACAATCAATCAGCGATCATAAAGTAAACAAATGTTTTGCTTCTGTTGAGAGCATGCTAATTTCTTTAGAAACTACGTAACTCAAGGAGTTAAAAGCAATAAACCAATAGAGGAACTGTTAGTTGATATATCAATATATACATACATAAAAATATCTATACATATTTTGTTGTTGTTGATATTGATTGATCTGTTAGTTGAATTTATTTGAATAAAATGTATTTAAATGAATGTCTATATATAAGGAAATATATATACACATATAAGGAAATACAATATATGTATATATTTATTAATAATATAATTATTTACCTTAGCAAATATTCAAATAGTTCGTCCAAATCCTATTAGCATCGGTCTTTCGTTTAAGATTGTCAGACTTAATAATGAATATTATATCAACTTCGACTTCATATCGTCAGTACATATTCTAACTGTATCAAATAAAGTTTCTTTAGCATCGTTTCGATAGTTCTGCATATGTTGATTATGTATTTAGTTTTTGTGGGATTTATATTATTTATTCGCATCTCGCAGTTCGGACATTTGTTTTTAGAACTTTCTGACATTGTGTACAACGGATGGATGATGATGATATATCTGAGCAGATGTGCTCTGCATTTTGTTGTCATTTCTTGTGTTTTTTCGTCTATTTTTTCTCTCGTCTAGCACGCGCTCGTTCCATATATGACAACAACAATAGCGCAACAGCAACAGCTGTCCTGTTATTGTTTAAGTTTTCTCCATATTGTGTGTCAAGGCCCAATGGCTATTCCCATAGAGTACACTCAATGTAAGCCCTTGGTACCTGCTGCAACTCGACAGCTATACGACTCCTAGTCCGGCTAATTAGCTTGAGTGCATAATAAAACAGAGGCAATCCATTAAATGCCAAACAGACAGACCCGAAATATGTCGTATGTTAAGTTTTGCAGTCTATTTCATTTGTGGCGGACGCTAAAATGCTTTTGCTTTTTACGATTTTAAAACGTAACAAGTTAGAACGTTGCAGTCAGGCATTACCGGTTGCGGAATACTCATTCACATCCCATCAGCAATTTAGTAGCTAATTTTCGCTCTAATAATATGCATTCAGTTTTTCCCGATTTGCCACGCCCCTATTGGGCGTAGACACCTCATTTTCAGTCCACTAACTGCAAAATTTAAATTCTTACGCTCAAAAAATATGAAAATTACAGGGTAAAAAATTATTTTTGGGTCATTGATAGAGGAGATTACTAGTAATTTAACTATCTAAATTTAAAGCTTCTTGCTATTATACTTTAGGAGATATAAACTTTTGCGGTTTGCCACGCCCCCTGTGGGCGGACATATTTCCGACGAAGCTTTTGGTCTTGGGTGGGCAGCCCGAGTATATATACAAAATTTGAGATTTCTAGCATCAATAATGTCCAAAATATAGCAGAATTTAAAAAATCACTATATCGTCAGGTCCGATTTGCCACGTCTCTAATAAACGTAGATATACAATTTTATCATTAGGTTTTATGGAATCATTACATTAGCTTACGTGCAAAACTCTTAGAGATACAGTCTTATCCGATTTGCCACGCCGCCAATGAACGTAGATATATCCGCCATAGTTCGTGATCTTGGGTGGTCGACGCGGATCTACACTGCAAATTTGCTTTCTAGCTCTTCAGCTAATATGATTTCTGGCATATCGGAAAATGCTTTTCTGACTCCTAGTGATTGGCCAAGAAAGTGTATGTCTAGGTAAATACCAACCTCTAAAGAGGTGGAATATATATACACATATAGATTTATAATTAATTTCGAGATTTCACAAACAAAATCTAAACGGAAAGTGTGGTTCTTCCTATGAACTAGATAATCTAATCAGGGTGTTATAACTAGGTATAACTTTACATTCTGGTACTCCATATGCAGAAGCATAAAAGGAACAAGAACAGGACTTCTTATAAACTAATTAGATAATCTATTCAGGGTATTATCTAGTCGGTGTGTTTCGATTAGCTTACATGATACCCGATATCTGATTACATACGCCGAAGCACATCAGGATTGCGAAACAAAAATGGGACTTCGTATAAACTATTTTGATAATCTAGTCAGGGTATTATCTAGTCGGTGATTCTCGGCAAATTTGCTTTCAAAAGCAAAGCGCAACTAATACAATTTCACAGTTGCATTCGGGTTATAAAATGACGTCTGAGAGTTAAAAATATAAACATTTGAAAGGAAACTGAACGTAGAACTTGCAGATAATCTTTATAATTTTGGCAAATTATGTTGAAATGCATTTAAATTGGCACATTCTTCGTCTGTTGCTTGGATTACTGCTAGCAACTAATTAATTAATAATTAATTATATTCTCTTTTTCTCTACTTTCTTGGCTACTGGCGAGGGTCGCGCCTTAGCCGGCGTAAGATGAGCAGGGGGAAAGCGGGCAGACAATATGAAAATTGCAATTCAATGTCATTGACGAAAGATCATAAAGAAAATCTGAATATACACAAATCTATAAGTGTGTGTGTGCGTGTGTTTGTCTGTGTGGCCGTGTCTGTTAATTATTTAATATCATTTTCAATTTTTGCCATCGCTGCGAGTCTTGGCGTGTCCGTGACTTTTGTTGATATGCCGCAAAGAGATGATAAATATGAAAATGAAATTGGCTTATTCTAAGCAAGTGTGTGTGTATGTGCGTGCGCGTGTGTGTGTGTGTGTAAGGCGCAAAAAATAAAATACACGAGAAATATATAAACAATATTGCACACGGCACCTCACAACTGTTTTGGTTTTTAGGCTCTTGGAGAGGGGGAGGAGGGATATCGGTGGGCGCCCACACGACACTGGCAGTCAGTTGGTAGCACGCCCCCGCCAATTGCCACCGCCGCCCGTTCAGGTCACCACTGTCAACACATTCTCACGGAGCGCTCGTTATAGTTTTTTCTATTTATTTATTATGATTTTTATTTTTGATTTTGGTTTTGCTTCAGTTTCTTCAGCTTGTTCATTGCAAATCATTTGCATGGCTATTTTTGAACACGTTTTTTAATATTCTTCCATTTGAATAGATCTCTCTCTCTCTCTCTCTCTCTCTGTATGTATATCTATATATACACTATAATTTTTATGTCTTTTTTTTTTCATTGCCGCCCCGAATTGGCAATCTGCTGACTGTCTGTGGGGGCTCTTTAGCAGCTGTGCCTGCCTCTCTGCCCCCATTCATAAAAGTCGCTCATTGATCGAAATTTCCTCTTGGCATCTTCCTGCCTCGAGTCCCTAGCTCTTCCCCCTTTTCCGCTGCCCATGATTGAGTAACCAATTCGACTGCATCTCTGTTTTGGCCAGCGTGTGCCAAACAAACTTCCCCTTGCGCTTTTTTTGGGGGAATCCTGTTGGCCAATTGGCTGGCTTTCAGCTTTATAGCGCCACAATGAGCTTCTGATCACAGACGTAGCCACACATTGGATGCTTTAAATAGCACCAAAAAAGCCGCCAAAGCCAAAGGAAAACAAGAAATTAACCAAATCATTTGGACTTGGGTGGCGGAGTGCGGTCTACTTCAGCAATGGGCGCTGCGATCACGTTGTCTTCTCTACTGGCTTATTAAAGAATCATTTAGAGGCTTATTCTTCATTATATTTAAAAAATTGATTATTAAACTTTTATGTTAAAATACATTTTGACTCAACATGTGTCTAGTATGGATTTGATTGAGTATGAAAGATGATAAATGCATAAAAGTGAATATGATGTCACTTGATATATATGACCTATAAATAGGTCATATGCTATGTATAGTAAAAAAAGAAGGAAGAGATGGAAGAAACTCGAGGAAAATTATTAAAACGGAAGAAAATAGATAGATGAAAGCTGAACAGAAATTAAAAGAGATGAAGAGAGTAGAGACTTTAAATAAATGTATTGTTTCTTATTTGACTAAACTTAATTTTGCATTTTACTATCAAAACCCCCCTAGGCTGATAAATACATTTGAATATCAATTTCTTTCTGGATCTGTGCCAAAAAGATATCTCAAAAGTAAATTCTTATATGTCATACATATTTAAGGAATATTACATTCTATATCTACTTTATCAAACATTCGAAAAACAATTTTAAAAAATGTACGTCCCAAGCCCTTAAATTAAATATAGTCCGAAGTAGTATATCGTTCTATGAAATATTTATATACGCCAGTAGCTTGTGGCGATCAATTTATTATTCATTATCGATATGAGTCACGCTGAGTAATCCCTATCGATTATACGATCTCTTTATAAACTCTCGTATAGTATTCACAATTTATAGATATTCCATTTCCATTATTCATCTTGTAAGTAAAATTTGATGGAGTTTGAGGCACAAATTCGAAATTGCAGTCATTCGTTATCTAGCCAATTCATCGAATTATTTATAGTGCATAAAATATATGTTATCTAAACAATCTATTTATAGATATATCTATATAAATTCCTCCATTCATTAAGATAACAATCTGATGCTTAGATTTAGGCGCCTCCTGCCGTTGAAACGTCACTGGGCTTAAATAGATAAATAGATGGCAAACACACACACACACGCACACTTACAGAGTATAGCACTCAATTAGGCGTCTAGGTTAGTTTGTACAGAGACACAACAGAGCAGCAACAGAATAGTATAAATATATATAAATTTAAATATACATATGTAAATATATGTATGTATATATGCAAAGTTTATGAAAGAAAATTGGAGAAAATTGAAATGGAAACTCGCGCGACACGCCGAAACAGAAACATAAGTAAAATTCATTCGTATACAAATTTAAAGAGCAGCCAAAGCAGACAGACAGACAGAATGAGGAAAAATGAAAATTTAAATTAAATTGTTGTTGTTGCTGTTGTTTTTGGTTATTTCGTATTTTTGGCAATGAACAAAAACTACGTCAACTAGAAATGCTGCTCAGGCGCGTATTTATGAGAAGAGCGTCGTGCGCAACGAAGCACACACAAAACACACACTAACTATAGCAACAACACGAACAGCAACAGCAACAGCAACAACAACTTTGTTGTAAGAAAATGTTGTTGAGGCGCGTCTCGTGAAGGAAAAAATAGCAAAAAGCAAAAGTTATTCTGTTGGCGCGCGCATAAAATTGAATTCAGTCGAGCCGAGCACATCGAGCAACGACGTAAGAACACGGAACGGATAAATATTTATTTTCTTTGGCACTGATCAACTAAAATCTCAATCAATTCGATTTGCTCTTGCAGGTCAGCAGCAACAGCAACAGCAACAGCAACGGTAGCAACGGAGCTTACGATCAGCAGTACTCGACGGGACAACAACAGCAACAGCAACAGCAGCTGCAGCATCATCAGCATCAGCACCAACAGCAGGTGACGGACTACGCACAGCCGAACCGGGGCACACAGCAGCAGGCGCACTTGACGCAGACGATCGAGGAGACGACCATAGTCGAGGACAGTCGCGAGGATCAGTTGGATTGTATGCTTGGCAATTTGCAGGCGAACATGAGTCGTCAGGGAGTCAACACAGTGCAGAAGGGCTGCTGCAATGCATGCGAGAAGCCGATTGTCGGCCAGGTGATCACCGCCCTGGGCAAGACCTGGCATCCGGAGCACTTCACGTGCAATCACTGCAGCCAGGAGCTGGGCACGCGCAATTTCTTTGAGCGCGACGGCTTCCCCTACTGCGAGCCCGACTATCACAATCTGTTCAGTCCGCGCTGCGCCTACTGCAACGGCGCCATTCTGGACAAGTGCGTGACGGCACTGGACAAGACCTGGCACACCGAGCACTTCTTCTGCGCCCAGTGCGGCCAGCAGTTCGGCGAGGATGGCTTCCATGAGCGGGACGGCAAGCCATATTGCCGCAACGACTACTTCGAGATGTTCGCGCCCAAGTGCAATGGCTGCAACCGTGCCATCATGGAGAACTACATCTCCGCCCTGAACTCGCAGTGGCATCCCGATTGCTTCGTCTGCCGGGTAAGCACCAGCTAAAGAGCTCACCGCAGCTCTCTGGCCATCGTTTGCTCTCTTTTTACATGAATATTCTTTTGATTCTGATTATGTGATTATGCGACATTTAGGATTGCAAGAAGGCTGTGCGCGGCAAGTCCTTCTATGCCATGGAGGGCAAGCCGGTCTGTCCGCAGTGTGTGGGCGTCGATGAGGAGGAATAGGCGTCCATAACCCAGCAACAGCAACAGCAACAGCAGAGGCAGCGGCAGCGGCAGCGGCAGCAGCGACAACTTGTTGAAGTTCAGCAACACGAAAATAGCCCCCGTCCGGATACGAATTGTATCTACATGAAATTGTTTACCCAGCGGCAGCTGCGTCCCACTTTCTGTCTCGCATTCACTCTCAATCTGTCTCTCTCCGTGTCCCATTCTCTTTGGGGGCTATTTTCGTTGAAAATGTGAAAAATCTTTTGAATATTGTCGGGGCTCAGCGCTTGCCACGACTTGTGTAGCCACCTGCCCCTATCCAGCAGCATCTACAACAGCAACAACAGCAACTCAAGGATCTGCCCCCACGTCTTTGGCTACTGTGGGGGCCTGGACACGGCTGACCACCAGGCAACTGGGCGGGTCGGCTATGTCCGCCCCTGCAGCACGCTTTGCCCCCTGCTATTATGATGGCCTCGGCCATGGCTTGCCTTCCCCTGCTAAGAGTAACCCCGCCCCAGTCCCTGCCCCCTTTGAAACTGTTGAACTTTTCTATATGCAATTTAGTTGTAAGTTTTTAGGTATTTTTTAAATTTAAACATTTATGAAGCAATATTGTAATTTGTTTTTGTAAATAAAATTTAAATAATTAAATTATATTAAAAAACAAACAAAAAATAAAAACAACAAAAATTAACTCAAAAACAACAATTGAAAAGTCTTGGCAAATGGAGCTGCTCAAGGGTGGATCTGTGGACCACGTCTAGTCCCGGTCCCACTGCTCCAAGTCCAGCCAGACCTTTGCGCAGTTCAAGATCAGAGTCAATATCGCTGACCTTGAGCTGGAATGTCGCATGTGCCGCGACCTTCAATTGTTGTTGTTGTTGTTGTTCAGTTGCAAACAATTTACACTATTGCTACATAGATTTTCGGATTAGATTAGCCGCAATACCAACAATACCCCACCCCCATCTCCGTCTCCCCTTGACCCCGCCCACGGGTGGAAACTATTTTGGTTGCTTACGTTTCTCGCTCATAAATATAAAACACAAACGAGAAATCAGCAAATGATTTCGACTGTATATAAATATGTATAACAATTTATCTGTACTCACAAACACTTTCCCCCATGAAATAATGCTCTCCATGAGAGTGTTCCCTGAAAGAGTCGAGAATCCCATGCTCCTTTATTCATTTGTCATTTAACTAAAACAGTCGGACTGCATAGCTTTCAAAATATGCATATTTATAGAAACTCGAACGGATTCTCTTTCAAAATTCTATGGAAATTCCAATTAATTATTTCCCATATATCAGCGCTAAATTTGGCTGCCATTCGAATCGTTGTGTTTATTTCAAACAAAATACATCCATCTATGAATTATTCAGTTTTAGAGCGATTTCAGTATTTATTTATTATTATGATGATTTCAACTGTATTAATATAACTGTATTAATATAATGTAATGTAATTTTCGAAGCAACATTTGGACGTATACCATTTTTCTTTTGTTGATTGGTCAACCTTTTCATAAGCTTGACAGATCACTCGTGTTAAACTTGCGATATTCCATTTATATTAAGCATTTAGAGTCACTTAAAAGTTTTATTTACTAAAATTGTTAAACAACCAATAAAAATAATAATACTTTATATAAGACAAATTTCCCCAATTATCAAGATATTCATTGATCGCTAAGAAATTGCATATTCAAATGGTTTTTCAATCCATTATCTACCTATTCAGAATCGTTTATCAACAATTTTAATTCAGTTTTCGGTTACAAAACTCCATTTCTTAAATTCTTTGAATGTACATACATATATACAGTTCATGTTGCTTGAGCCTCGTCAATAAGTAAAATTGATCGATACCCATGAAGGACCTTCCGAATGTCTGTTCTCACAGTTCGAACGAAATTTTAAAAACTATACGGACTACATTGAATACATTGATCAAATAGATATGGCATAGTGAATCAACTTTAATATATTTTACAATTCAGTCAAAATGGTTCTCGTAAATTTTCTTTTTATTTTCTTATCCTATGCAAACTTTCTTCGTCTCTATTTTCTTGTCTGCTACCTTCATTTGTTTTAGCTTCATTTACTTTAATTTCAGTTCCATTATTTTTTATTTTAAAAATTTTCTTTGGTTCAATAGTATTTTATAAGTACATTGCTTAATTCTGCTTGACTTTCAAGAGAATTAGAGAAATATTCCTTCACCTGAATAGAACTGGAACTATATATTTAATATATATAAAATTTGCCTATGCTCTTAGCATCAGGCTAGGGTATCAGCAAGTCGAAGCCACCTAACTTGTGAAGCCTCTGATGGTTACCATTGTATTAGAGAACAATAAAATGCTTTTTTAAATAGACTTAATAGATCTATAAAAAGAATAATCTCCTTCGGGATTTCTAATTAAGTTTTTTTGTTTTTATAAAGGTGATGAAAGTGAAGGAGAAATTAATGCAAAGGCGTTTAGGTAATATTGAATTTATTTTAGTATATATGCACTAGACGGGTTCTGATAATAGTTTTAAAGGCTATCATCTATGTATATGCATACATCATATATATTTGTTATATCTATAAATATCATATCAAGTAACTAAAACAAAGCAGATATTTAAAGTTCACTTCCATTTGCCAAGGCAATATTTTATAATGGTATTATTTAATTGTTACCATATATTATAATCTATATATAATCTATATATGTACAGTTATCTGCCTCTCTGTGTTGCTATATCTATTCGTTTGGAGTTGGCGCTCAGCCAAAAGCGTGCGCAAAATGTTATTGTTTAAATTGATGCGATTTCTACGTCTAGTTGTTGTTGTTGCTGCTGCTGTTGTTGTTGTTGTTGTAGAAATGTTTTTCCAAAACAAAATTCAATTGTCGCAAAATACTGCCAAAATTGTATACATACTTTGCACACTGTGCACACTGGTACAAAAGCATCTGTCAATCGCCATTTCAATAATTCGCTTGGCACATTTCAGACTTTCACAATTTCAGAAATTTTCGAAATAGCTCACTGGCAGCTAATTTATGAATGTAATTAGCATTTAATTTGATTTTGAATTTGAATTTGAATTTGAGCAACCTGCCGAGCAGACACCTTCGAAAATAGATCAGGAAGCTGGGCCGATGGCGCAGTTAGACTTACCTTAATTATGCCATTAGATCTAAAATTATCAACTAATACATGTGAATGATGAAAAAGTGTGATGAATATGTATTTTGTATTAATTTGTATTATTTTTGGTTTGTGTGTTGCAGGACTGTCGACAACCGTTCCAGGGCGGCTCGTTCTTTGACCACGAGGGTTTACCGTACTGCGAGACACATTATCATGCCAAACGTGGCTCGCTCTGCGCTGGCTGCTCGAAGCCCATAACGGGGCGCTGCATTACGGCCATGTTCAAGAAATTCCATCCGGAACACTTTGTCTGCGCCTTCTGCCTCAAGCAGCTGAACAAGGGCACGTTCAAGGAGCAGAAGGATAAGCCCTACTGCCACGCCTGCTTCGACAAGATATTCGGTTGAACTGGCCATAGCTGGCGTATAAGCGTTACATATGTGCTGCAACAACTAACTATATATACATACATATATAGAGTTACGATCCTAATATGCTGTTTCTTCTTCTTTTTTGTACGATTCTATGTGCCCCTTACTTACCCTTACGAGAGTTCATTTGCGCTTTGTATAACCGAGTCAAATTAGTAATATAATTAACACTGGACACACGATACACATAGATGTATCAGATCAGATCGGATCATATCAAATTAGATCAGATCGGATCACAATAATCAATTAGACGACACTAATACCCTGCCAATTGAATGGCGAAACGATATTTCTGCGCTTTCAAAATAAAATTATTACGATAATACATTTTTAGGATTTTTATTTTAGGGAAAATAGGGGAAAATATAAAAATTAATGTTAAAGCTTAAATATTTAATAACTGAAAAACAATGAAATAAAACATTTTAAATCGGCAAACGTTAAAAAGTGCTCTGTTAACTAACAGCTGTTTGCCTGGTTTAGCGTAGACACAAACCGACAAGCATCAGTAACTGGCCGGCATTCTTTTCTGTTTTCCTTTCGTATTTGTCTTTGCTACAGTTTTGAATGCTCTAGCAAATTTGTATGTTTGCTCACCATCTGCGCACCTTTAAATTGCCTCTCCCACACTCTCTTACGCTCTTGCATGCAAACACACACACACGCACACATAGAATTATTTTATCTGTTAAAGATGCCGGCCGGTAGCTCGGTTGCCGACTCGCTCGCACTTGGCGCTTGACATTGAGCTCAGCCTGCGTGCTCGCGCAAACCTATTAACTTGTGTGTGTAAATATATAACTACCAGCGCTCCCACATTGCCGTGCGTGTGCGTGTGTGAGTGGCCGTCGCTCCCTATAAACGCGGTAGGGTTCGCAGCACGAACGCTTGTGAATCAGTCAGCGTCAGTCTCTCTCTGCTCACTCACTTCTCATCTGTTGGCTGCGTCGGTTGAGTCAATCCTGTTAGTTGCGTGGTCTGCCGCCTTGTTATTCGTTATTCGTTTCGTGCGTGTGTTTACTCTGCTATTCCCCAGATCGTTTTATTCGTTTTAATTATCCGGTATTATTAAATTGATTTGCAAACGCCGTCTGTGCAATTCCCTTGCCGGCAGCAACAAAAGAGGAGAGTCAAACATCAGCCGGAGTCAGCAGGAAGCGCTACAGGTTGGTGAAGCACACAGGCGCACATACATAAACACACATTGAGAAGCAAAACAATACACACATACATCCACCTAATAAACTTGTGTGCGTGCATTGTATCATTCGACTCTTCGTTGCATTCTCTACCAAGAGCTGTTTACAAATAGTTCTCTTTTCATGCCTTTTTTTATGCGGTGATGTAATATGAGAACTCTTGTTCAAGTCCTTAACAAAATAAACAGTCTGTGTGTGTGTAAGGTTTGCACTGCGAGTCATGATATCATGCGGTGGTATTCTGATTCAGAATCTAAGTCAGAGTCACGCATGCCACCCGCATTTGCTGACGCGAGAGCAATAACAAAGCCGCAGAGAAGAGAGGAAGGAGAATATACATACAATTAAAGTTTATTTATGCCACTGGCATACACGAACCAATTGCCCGCCAGAGTCTCAAACTGTCTGTCTGTGTTTGCGCGCGTCTTTACGTGTATGTGTGCACCAATTTGTCAATGATTGTGATATGTAAATAAAAGTGAAATTAACAGTTGGAGCTATTATTATTCCCTTTTGTTGTGATTGTTGTTTTCGCTGCTGAGTTGTTGTTATCACTTAATGCCAATTGCTGCATTTAAATGAATGCTTAAATTGCATTTATTTAACACATACACATACACAATTGCACAGATGCAGCACTCGGAACAATACTTCCACAACTTTGCGTATAGAAATTTGAATGTTTACATTCACTGAGCACAGATGAGGTGAGAGTTGGCAAGGGTGTGCTCTTTGTGTGTGTTTGTGGGTGTAGCTGGGTGTCCAATTGGGCTTAACACGCAATTCCGATTCCTACCTACTGATTAGCCATAAAAATGTTTAATGTGAAGCGATTTGCTCTGGGTCGCACTAACACATGTAATGCGCATTATCAAATTAGTCGAGCACACGTTAAGCGCTGTGACAGCCGTTTGCAACTGTAGTTTTGCAGTCACAAGTGACACACACGCACAGTTGAGCGGCCACTGTGCTAATTGCAAGCTCACCAGTGGCTGCTCAACTACTACTGTATTTGCATAGCTTATCACGTGCCAATAATGACTCAATTTGCAGAGCTGCCGTTCTGCTGATACCCTTTAATTCTGAGGACTGAAAACTAGACCATATGCCCATCATAAT